AAGCATGTGATACAGCACACTATATTGGAAGAAATGTAAAGCATTTCATATTTTTTATATTCTCTCACCTGGACCAAAAACTAAAGGCTCGCTTTGGGGATTAAGAAAACACAAACTAAATATTTATAGAGTAAGATGACGGTATGTATGTTTTCTATGTGAAAAGAAGATGAAACTTACACGCTTTTATCTGTGTTGAACGCACTGGCGCTCATCACTCTGTTGCCCCAGGATGGGAGTGCCAGTCACTATCACAGCTCAGCAACCCTCGCTCTCCACGGTTCAAGCGATTCTCCTGCCCAAGCCATCCCGAGTAGCTTGGGAGCTACAGGCTGATGCGACCACCGACAATCGACCTAAGTTTGTTATTATTTAAGTAGAGGATGGGGGTTTCACCATGGGTTGACCAGGCTCGTCTCGAACTCGCTGACCCAGATCTGCTCTGCCAGCCTGCCCCAAAAAAGTGGCTTGAGAATTACAGGTGGAGCCACCACGCACGCCCCTTTGTTTTTTTTTTTTTTTTGAGACAGGTTCTTCGACGTCACTGCAGGCTGCAGTGCTACGATGCATGAACTCCAACTTCACTGGCTCTGCCCCCCTCCTGGGTCACAATGCTGCCAGCCTCCAACCATGACTGGCATTAACAGGTGACATTCTTATACCAACGCAAATGTTACAGCCCAGCCTACCATTAAGATTCTCCGTCAGTATATGGCGCCTCAGAGACGCGCGCCTTCAAACAAAAACATATATGGCTCACGCTTGTGTGCCAAGAGTCGAATTGAACATACAGGGAGAGTGATTGCATCTATCTACATTGACATCCCCAAAAATTTCGACGATTTCTGATATATTTAGGGTATGATGGTTTTGACCATCAGACCGCTCCCGCTTAATGATTTATTGTGTTTTGCAGTTATAGTTGTGTGTTTGTTATACATCGAGAAGAGAGCTTGTACAGCAGTGAATGCCGCTACACACGATCCGCCGACTGCACTCAGTTTCGTAGGGCTCAAGCGGTCGCCGCGCTCCTCTCACCCTCAGCCTCCCCAGTAGGCTGGGTACTACACACCACCATGACCTGGCGATGTGGTGTGTGTGTAGACAGGGTCCTTGCTTTTTGTCCCAGGCTTGGTTGTTCAAAAGCGCCTGGCTTGTTCAAGTGATTCTTTTCCCCCACTGCAGTCTTCCCCAAAGTGCTGGACCAAAGCCACCACTGGCCAAACCAACACTGTTGAGCATCTATGGATCGCAGGCTGCTAGGTGTTTGTGAATCAGTGGACCCAAACACGAATGATACGCCTGTTCCAGTGAAGCATGTGTTGTTAAGAAACGCACACAAACGCCACCCAGCGAAAGAAGTAGAACACCGACGGTGAGGAAGCCTGGATTCGGACCTGGCAAGAGGCAAAACCATTTACGGTGCACAGAGGGAATTGGCAGTCTTTAGTAAATAGAAAAAACGGTGTGGGCCAGCGGCTCACCTGTTGACCCAGGCACGACCGAGCGCGACCCCATGATCACAGTTTGACACCAGCTCTGGGCCAACATGGTGAAGCCCTGTTGTTGACGGAAAAATACAAAATGGCAGAAAAGTAGGCGCTGGAGCACCGATGGTACGTGGCCTTGTAGTTCCAGCTACTCGAGAGGCTTGAGGCAGGATAATCACTTGACACTGAGGAGGTGAGAGGTGTTGCAGTGAACCGCAGATCGTCGCCACGCTAGCACTACGCGAGTGCCCGGTGACAGTGGGAGACTCCGCATCTCACAAAAAAAAAAAAGAAAGAAAAAGAAGAAAATAAAAGAAAGGAGAACTGGAGCTGCTGAAAGCCCATGGTTCCTGCCTCCTCCCTGATATCGATTTAGGATACTCATACTTTGCCTTACTGTAATAGCTCCATTTGCAAATGAAAATTAAACTGTACATGGGGCTGGGCTCAGTGGCTCAGGCCTGTAATCCCAGCACTTTCAGAGGCCGAGGCGGGCAGGTCAGACAGGACTTGAGGTCAGGGGTTCGAGACCAACCTGACCAACATCACGAAACCCCGTCTCTACTAAAAATACAAAAATTAGTGGCGCGTGGTGGCACACACCTGTAATCCCAGCTACTCAAGAAACTGAGGCAGGAGAATCGCTTGAACCTGGGAGGCAGAGGTTGCAGTGAGCCGAGATCATGCCACTGCACTCCAGCCTGGGCGATAGAGTGAGACTCCATCTCAAAAAAGAAAAAGAAAGCCTGTGCATGGGAAAACACTTGACAAGCTGCATTCCACAGGCTGGTCTCCCCATCTGGCATAGAAGCTACCAGGGCAAAGGGACTGTGCAGAACCACCTCCAGAACCCAGCACGTACCCCTGTGCCTGGCACCAGTTCTCCCAAAGTCAGGGCCAGAGACCTAAGAGTGTATGTTTCATGCCAAAAATAGGAGGAGCAAAATTTTCCCCAATTTTCCCAGGTGTGAAAAGGAACAACTTCTTTTTCGTTTCCTTGAACTTTTGAATCTTTAAATTTTTTAATACATAGAAAAAGAATGTATATAGTATATGGTGATTATAAAGCAATAGCAATAAAATAACCCCCTGGGAACATGTACGGGCGCCAAAAAAGAAAGGAATGGCTCACAGAAAGATATTTCAAAAAGATGCAGAAACCAGCTCGACAACATTCCCAGTGGCCATATCAACGGCAATTTGAGCATCAGAGTGAATCCAGATTGTAAACCAGTGTATAAAACAGGAAAGCAAATCCAGGCGTCGTGGCTCACACCTGTAATCCCAGCAGTTTGGGAGGCTGAGATGGGAGGATCGCTTGAGGTCAGGAGTTCGAGACCAGCCTGGGCAACATGACAAGACCCCCATCTCTACACAAAATTAAAAAAAAAAAAAAACAGATGTAGGGCACGTGCCTGTAGTCCCAGCTACTTGGGAGGCTGAGGTGGGAGGATCTCTTGAGGCCAGGAGGTCAAGGCTGCAATGAGCTATGATCGCACCACTGCACTCCAGCCTGGACAACAGAGCAAGACCCTGTCTCAAAAAAAAAAAAAAAAATTGATACCTTTTAAAATGAGGACTGGCTGGGCACAGTGACTCACGCCTGTAATCCCAGCACTTTGGGAAGCCGAGGCAAGCAGATCATGAGGTCAGTAGTTTGAGACTAGCCTGGCCAAAATGGCAAAACCCCATCTCTACTAAAAATACAAAAATTAGCCAGGCATGGTAGCGTGCACCTGTAATCTCAGCTACTTGGGAGGCTGAGGCAGGAGAAACACTTGAAACCAGAAGGCGGAGGTTGCAGTGAACTGAGATCACACCACTGCACTCCAGCCTGGGCAACACAGCAAGACCCTGAAAAAAAAAAAAGAAAAGAAAAAAAGATATTAATTTAATCCATCAACAATGACATGCTGAAATTAAGAACTCTTCCTTACTGTTCACTCAGCAGTTATTTATTTTTATTTATTTATTTTGAGACAGAGTCTTGCTCTGTCACCCAAGCTGGAGTACAGTGATGCCATCTTGGCTCACTGCAACCTCTGCCTCCCTGGTTCAAGTGATTCTCCTGCCTCAGCCTCCTGAGTAGCTGGCATTACAGGTGCATGCCACCACACCCGGCTAATTTTTGTATTTTTAGTAGAGACAGTTTTCACCATGTTGGCCAGGCTGGTCTCGAACTCCGGACCTCAAGCGATCCACCAGCCTCGGCCTCCCAAAGTGCTGGGATTACAGGCCTGGGCCACGGAGGTTGGCCAAGCAGTTCTTTTCAATACAAAGACTATGTAACTATGTTACCGAAGGTTAAAGATTTGATAGTGGGTTGACGAGGAATTTTTGTCTTGTCAGCCCTTTGTGGGCCAGAATATTTTGCACCGGCACTCTCGGCACAGAGACATTTAATATCATGGCCTTATCCGAAATTCTGACTTGACTCTGTATTTTCAGACTGACCTGACTGAATTTAGCAGCAATGTTTCTAGACACCTGCACTGACTAAAGGATTCCAGCCATCATCTCTTTGGTTTCACCTAGGTCAGACGAATGATAGTGAGTGGTGAATCCTTTTACAGAAATCAGACTTTCACCTGAGCTTTTTTAAGCTGGGTCACAGCTATGATAAATCGGCTCCCAAGTGGACAGCCACAGTGATATCATGCCACAGGGATAAAGGAGTCAAGGCCTAGTTCCAAGGCCAGCTTGGCACTTGTATGGCCTGTCTGAGCTCTCGAGATTATTGGGAGAAACAACAATTTGGAAACGGCCATTCCGCCCCCTCCTGGAGTCTTGCTTTCCGCGTCTCTACCGAGACTGATGGAACGGGCCTGCAGTCCCAGAATTTTGGGGAGGTGGAGGTGGGAGGATCGTTTCAGCCCAGGAGTTCGAAAACACCCTGGGCAACATAGCAAAACCCGGTCTTACAAATACAAAAATTTTAAAAATTAGTCGGACGTGATGGCGTGTGCCTGTAGCGCCAGCTACTCGGGAGGCTGAGGCAGAAGGATCGTTTGGGCCCAGAAGTTGGAGGCTACAGTGAGCCGAGATCGCGCCACCGCCCTCCAGCCTGAGCGACAGAGTGAAACCCTGTCTCTAAAAGAAATAAAGGCCAACCCTGCAGAACCGCGTCTGCAGCCCGGGGTTTGTGACTTCTCTCCAACCCCCACCCAGTCACAGACGCGCCCACTTTCCGCCCCGCGCGCCGGAAGTGGCCGAGTCCCGTCGGCCCCTGCGGGCCGCTCGCCGTCGCCATGGAAACGAAAGCGGCCAGGGAGCTCTCTGCCCTAACGCGCCGGCCACGGTGGGCTCAGGGCTGCTACGCCGCGGCGGACGACGATGCTGAAGGCCAAGATCCTCTTCGTGGGGCCTTGCGAGGTGAGTCCCGGCCCGGCGCGGCAGAGGGAGCGGGGAGCAGGCCTCAGGGCCTGAGCGAGCGCAGGTCCCCACCCGTCTGGTCTGTGGCTTGCTCCAGGAGGCGGGAACCCGGGCCCACCGCGCCCATCCCGGCTGGCGCCCCTGCCCTTTCCGCGAGCTCCGTGCTTTCAGACCTTGATTCCAACCACTGCCCGGAGAAGGTAGTGGAGGCGAGCCCGGTGTTAATGAGCCCCGAAGGCCCAAGGTACTGAGTGGCGTCACTGGAACCACAGCCTAGATTTCGTGACTCTTTCTCTTGCCTCCGGGATCCACCTGATGAATACGTCTGTGGGTCTGGACTTTTGAGACAGGGACTCTCACTGTCGTTTATGCTGGAGTGCAGTGTTGTGATCATAGCTCACTGCAACCTCGACTTCCCTGGGCTCAAGTAGTCCTCCTGCCTCAGCCTCCTGAGTACCTGGGAGTACAGGCGTGCACCACCACGCCCGACTAGTCTCGCCCTGTCACCCAGGCTGGAGTGCAGTGGCATGATCTTGGCTCACTGCAAACTCCGCCTCCCGGTTTCAAGCGATTCTCCTGCCTCAGCCTCCTGAGTAGCTGAGATTACAGGCCCACACCATCACCCCTGGCTAAGTTTTGTATTTTTTGTAGAGATGGGTTTTCACCTTGTTGGCCAGGCTGGTCTCTAACACCTGACCTCAAGTGATCCGCCCGCCTCGGCCTCCCAAAGTGCTGGGATTAAAGGAATGAGCCACCACGCCTGGCCTTAATTTGTTAATTATTTGTAGAGACAAGATCTTGCTATGTTGCTTAGCACCTAGGCTGGTCTCCAACTCGGACTCAAAAGGCCTCCTGCCTCAGCCTCTCAAAGTTCTGGGATTACAGGTGTGAGTCACTGCTCGAGGCCTGAGCGTTTTACTATATGGTCCTGGAACCACTGGCTATTAATGTGTTTGTTGGGGGTGTGGTAGTGGGGATCACATCTACATATAAACTTCACATCATCCACAGAAATAAAGCTCAGATGAACTAAAGCTAAATGCGTTAAAAAACAAAACAAAACAAAAACAAAAACAAAAAACTGGCCAGGCACGGTGGCTCACGCCTGTAATCCCAGCACTTTGGGAGGCCAAAGCAGGTGGATCACCTGAGGTCAGGAGTTCGAGACCAGCCTAACCAACATAGTGAAACCCCATCTCTGTACTAAAAATACAAAAATTAGCTGGGCATGGTGGCGCATGCCTGTAATCCCAGCTACCCGGGAGTCTGAGGCAGGAGAATCACTTGAATCCGGAGGCGGGGTTGCAGTAAGCCAAGATGGCGCCATTGCACTCCAGCCTGGGCAACAAGAGCGAAACTACATCTAAAAAAATAAATAAAACTGATAGAAGTCTTAGGCCAGGCGCAGTGGCTAACACCTGCCAGCACTTTGGGAGGCTGAGGTGGGGAGATCACTTGAGCCCAGGCATGCGAGACCAGCCTGGGCAACATAGGGAAACCCCATCTCTACAAACAATACAAAAATTAGCTGGGCATGGTGGTGCACATCTGTAGTCCCAGCTACTCAGGAGGCTGAGGCGAGAGGATCACTGGAGCCCTACAGATCAAGGCTGCAGTGAGCTGTGATCATGTTGCTGCACTCCAGCCTGGGCAACAGAGCAATACCTTGTCTCAAACAAAAAAAAAAAAAAAAAAAAGCAATGTGTATTACTCATATAATCCAGATGGACAAACTGCTCCATGTGAGATTATAAGACAGCTAGCCATGAGTCCCCAGGCTGACTTTGATCCTCTCTGTGACCTAAAAGAACTCCTTGGCCAGGCGCAGTTTCTCATCCCTGTAAACCCAGCACTCTGGGAGGCCCAGGCGGGTGGATCACCTGAGATCAGGAGTTCGAGACCAGCCCAACTAATAAATACAGAAGTTAGCCGGGTGTGGTGGTGGGCGCCTGTAATCCCAAATACTTGGGAGGCTGAGGCAGGAGAATCATTTGAACCCGGGGGGTTCAGTGAGCCCAGATCACAGCCTGGGCAACAAGAGTGAAACTCTGTCTCAAAAAAAAAAAAGAACTTAATCCCATGCTCCCTGGGCCCCAGACCAGGCTGTGCCCACTGCACTAGAGCAGGACAGTGCGGTCATAACCACCCCAGTGATCTCAGGGTGCCAATGACCTATACTGCACCGCACCAGCTTCCAGGCCACCTCTTGGAGTGATTTTTTCGGTTTCCTTTTCTGCCTTTCAACAAAGACCTTTATTTGCACTCATTTTCAGAGTGGAAAAACTGTTTTGGCCAACTTTCTGACAGAATCTTCTGACATCACTGAATACAGCCCAACCCAAGGAGTGAGGTGAGCCCTGACAAATCTGTGTCCCAAAGAGTGCCCAACTGGCTGGGCAGGGAGGCTCATGCCTCTAATCCCAGCGCTCTCAGAGGTCAAAGTGGGAGGATCGCCTGAGCCCTGGGCAATATAGGGAGACCCCATCTCAACTAAAAATAAAACATTAGGCCGGGCGCGGTGGCTCAAGCCTATAATCCCAGCACTTTGGGAGGCCGAGACAGGCGGATCACGAGGTCAGGAGATCGAGACCATCCTGGTTAACATGGTGAAACCCCGTCTCTACTAAAAAAATACAAAAAAACTAGCCGGGCGAGGTGGCGGACTCCTGTAGTCCCAGCTACTCGGGAGGCTGAGGCAGGAGAATGGCGTGAACCCGGGAGGCGGAGCTTGCAGTGAGCTGAGATCCAGCCACTGCACTCCAGCCTGGGTGACAGAGCGAGACTCCGTCTCAAAAAAAAAAAAAAAAAAAAAACCATTAGCCAGGTAAGTTGGCATGTGTCTGTAGTCTCAGCTACACAGTAGGCTGAAGCAGCAGGATTGCTTGAGGCCAGGAGTTGGAGGCTGCAGTGAGCTATGATCGTACCACTGCACTCCAGCCTGGGTGACAGAGTGAGACCCTGTCTCAAAAAAAATTTTTAATAATAAAACAATTTAAAAAGACTGCCCAGCCATCACCCACCTCCTACTTTTGTTGCTCTTGGCATTCCAAAAGTGTAATGCAGCTTCATTATTGGTGCTACTGCTGCTCTTCTTCTTCATCCTGTCTCCCAGGCTGGAGTGCAGTGGCACAATCTTGGCTCACTGCAACCTCCACCTCCCAGGTTCAAGCGATTCTTCTGCCTCAGCCTCCCCAATAGCTGGGATTACAGGTGCCCACCATCATGCCCGGCTAATTCTTTTATTTTTAGCATAGCGAGGGTTTCAGCATGTTGTCCAGGCTGGTCTCGAACTCCTAACCTCAAGTGATCTGCCTGCCTCGGCCTCTCAGAGTGCTGAGATTACAGGCATGAGCCACCACACCCAGCCTACTGCTCTTCTTTTTCCTTTTAGGATCCTGGAATTTGAGAACCCGCACGTTACCAGCAACAACAAAGGCACAGGCTGTGAATTCGAGCTATGGGACTGTGGTGGCGATACTAAGTATGTTTCCTTTAAAGAAAGTCACTTCATCAAATGGTTTAAAAATCAGCTGCCCAGGCCAGGGGTGGTGGCTCACACCTGTAATTCCAGCACTTTGGGAGGCCAAGGGGGGTGGATCATCTGAGGAGAAGAGTTCAACAGCAGCCTGGCCAACATGGTGAAACTGCATCTCTACTAAAAATACGAAAAATTAGCCCGGTGTGGTGGCGGCCACATGTAATCCCAGCTACTTGGGAGGCTGAGGCAGGAGAACTGCTTGAACCTGGAGGCGGAGGTTGCAGTGAGCAGAGATCGCACCATTGTACTCCAGCCTGGGTGACAGAGCTGGACTCTGTCTCAAAAAACAAAACCAAACAAAAAAAATCAGCTGCCCATCAGGCACCATGAAGTTGGGCCTAGCATGTTTCCTGGCACATATGAGGAGGTTGATAAATTATTTGCTGACATGCATTGCTTTATACACTTCAGTGATTAGGTTATGATGCAGTTAGAAGTCATCAACCTTGGCCAGGCGCAGTGGCTGACGCCTGTAATCCCAGTACTTTGGGAGGCCGAGGCAGGCAGATCACCTAAGGTCAGGAGTTCAAGACCAGCCTGCCCAACATGATGAAACCTCATCTTTAAAAAAAAAAAATAGGGGCCAGGCACCGTGGCTTACGCCTGTAATCCACTGCTTTGGGAGGCCGAGGCAGGCAGATCACCAGAGCTCAGGAGTTTGAGACCAGCCCGGCCAACATAGCAAAACCCCGTCTCTACTAAAAATACAAAACTTAGCCCAGTATGGTGGTGTGCACCAATAATCCCAGCCACATCAGGAGACTGAGGCAGGAGAATCACTTGAACCTGGGAGGTAGACGTTGCTACCGCACTCCAGCTTGGGCGACAGAGCCAGACTCTTATCTCAAAAAATAATAACAATTTTTTTTAAATGAAGAAATCAACCTTTACAAAAAATAAAATTGACCTGATATGGAGCACACCTGTAGTCCTAGCTACTCAGGAGGCTGAGGCAGAAGGATCGCTCGGGCCCACGTTGGAGGCTGCAGTGAGCTATGATCCCACAACTGCACAATTTTAAAAGACTGCCCAGCCATCACCCACCTCCTACTTTTGTTGCTGTTGGCAACAAAAAGTAGAGCAAGACCCTGTCTCTTTTAAAAAAAAAAAAAAAAAGTCATCGACCAACTGTTTCTTTTTTGTTGTTGTTGTTGTTGTTGTTGTTTTGAGATGGAGTCTCGCTGTGTCGCCCAGGCTGGAGTGCAGTAGTTGCAAACTCAGCTTGCTGTAAGCTCCGCCTCCAGGGTTCATGCCATTCTCCTGCCTCAGCCTCCCGAGTAGCTGGGACTACAAGAGCCCACCACCACGCTCGGCTAACTTTTTTGTATTTTTAGTAGGAATGGAGTTTCACCGTGTTAGCCAGGATGGTCTTGATCTCCTGACATCGTGACCCACCCGCCTCAGCCTCCCAAAGTGCTGGGCTTACAGGAGTGAGCCACCACGCCCAGGCTGTTATAGACCAACTTTTAATACTAAGATATTCTTTTTAAAGTCCACAGTTAGAAACCAGAATGACCTGACTTTCCCTCTTGTTCCTTTTCTTCCTCCCAGGTTTGAGTCCTGCTGGCCAGCCCTGATGAAGGATGCTCATGGAGTGGTGATCGTCTTCAATGCTGACATCCCAAGCCACCGGAAGGAAATGGAGATGTGGTATTCCTGCTTTGTCCAGCAGCAGTTGTTACAGGACACACAGTGTATGCTAATTGCACACCACAAACCAGGCTCTGGAGATGATAAAGGAAGCTTGTCTTTGTGTAAGGAAACTGGAATTTCTCTTCCTCTTTTGTCTTGAATGTTTTGGACACCTACATATTGCCCCACGTCCTACAAACCAGCAGCTCTGTCCAGTTACTGAGCACCTTCTGTACCCTAGGCAATTGTTGCCCGCTCCATGTGAGTCCACCCTGTCTCTACTAAAAATACAAAAATTAGCCAGGCATGATGACAGGTGCCGGTAGTCCCAGCTACTCAGGGGCTAAGGCAGGAGAATTCCTTGAGCCCGGGAGGCAGAGGTTGCAGCGATCTCACCGCTGCACTCCAGCTTGGGTGACAGGATGAGACACCATCTCAAAAAATAAATAAATAAATGAAAGGCCAGGCGCAGTGGCTCATGCCTATAATCCCAACACTTTGGGAGGCCGAGGCGGGCAGATCTCTTGAGGTCAGGAGTTCTAGACCAGCCTGGCCAACATGGTGAAACCCCGTCTCTACTAAAAATACAAAAATTAGCTGGGGGTGGTGGTGCACGCCTGTAATCCCAGCTACTCAGGAGACTGAGGCAGGAGAATCACTTGTACCTGGGAGGTGGAGGTTGCAGTGAGCTGATGCACTCCACTCCACCCTGGACAACAAGAGTGAAACTCTGTCTCAAAAAAAAAAAAGAACCAGAATACAGAGTGGGAAAATCCTGCCTGTCGCTATTCTTGGGTATGACTGGGGTGGCACTCTTTCTGAAAGAACTTTTCTGGAGAAAAACCTCCAATTCACATAACACACATCCCAAGGGTGACACAGTAATCCTGAAAAAGAAGTCAGAAAATACTCAGAAACAAAATGAGAATAATAGAGAACCTATAAGAACAGAAGACCTGGAAAGTGGTTTGTAAGTTTTTCATCCTGTTGCCAGGTGGCAGTATAGCAAACCCTTTCTCTGTTCTCTGGTGTCAAGGAAGACAACTTGATTTGTGAACTTCAGAAAGTTAAATTTCTTCTAGAAGTTTCACTGGGAGCTAGAAAGGGCCCCTCATTGAAACTCCTTGACTAATTAACCTTATCTTCATTTTCAAGCGCCACCCTTGAACAAACTGAAGCTGGTGTACTCGAACCTGGAAGATGACCCTGAGGAGATCCGGATGGAATTCATAAAGTATTTAAAAAGCATCATCAACTCCATGTCTGAGAGCAGAGACAGGGAGGAGATGTCAATTATGACCTAGCCAGCCTTCACCTGGGACTGCCACCTCCCCAGTGAAATCAGCATGTTTCTTGGTGCAGATCTGAAATCACATCCAGCTCCTGATGTTTTCTTCTCCCTGTGACTGCAGAGGAAGTGTTCCTACCTGCAGGAAGGCACCTGTCACGCAGGACATTCACTCAGACCATCTATGCTCTGTCCTGAGTTCAGTTTAGAAAATCCTATCATCGAATTCAGATTTCCTGGCCCCAGAACTTCCCAAAGACCTATAAAATGGAGGGATTTACCACCTTCACATATGTCCAGTTATATAGTTTGTGGAATTGTAACCGTTGCAGCCCAATGATACAACAGTAGTTTAATCATGTGTATTGGCTTGCATGTAATTTTCATTCCTTGATTTACCCAACAAACACCGATGGGTTGAGCACCTGCTGTGTGTGCACCACTGTCCTAGCTGCTGACTGCAGACAGCATGCATGAAAAAGACACAAATCCCCACCCTCACGGAACTCATTCCATTTTCCTAAATATTAGGTTGGTGCAAAACTAATCGCGGTTTTTGCCATTTTTAATTTTTAATGGCAAAAGCCACAATTACTTTTGCACCAACCTAATAGTAAGGCCAATTCAGAAACTTGAGTGCAATGTCTTGGATATGCAAAAAAGAAAATCAAAATGCATTCTTCATTCTCTGTAAGAGTTCTAGGTGGGGCTCAGTGGCTCACACTTGTAATCTCAGCACTTTGGGAGGCCAAGGCAGGTGGATCACTTGAAGCCAGGAGTTCAAGACCAGCCTGGCCAACATGGCAAAACCCTATCTCTACTAAAAATATAAAAATTCACAGGGTGTGTTGGCACATGCCTGTAATACTAACTACTCGGATGGCTGAGGCATAAGAATTGCTTGAGCCTGGGAGGCAGAGGTTGCACTGAGCTAAGATCGCACCACTATACTCCAACTTGGGTGACAGACACCATGTCTCAAATAGATGAAATTACATTAAATGTTTAAAAAGAGGTCTAAATAAGTTTCATATGCTGCCCTCCCTCAGATAATGTGGGAACCTGGGGTACTTAACATGCCAAATGAAGGTATACTTGATCGTTATTCATAGATTTTGTATTTGAGAATTTGCTTACTCACTAAAATATGTTTGTAACCCCCAAATCAATACTGTGGCACTTTCTCAGTTATTTGCAGACATACAGAGTGATATAAAATGTGAAGTGCCTGGCTGGGCGTGGTGGCTCACACCTGCAATCCCAGCACTTTGGGAGGCCGAGGCAGGCAGATCACAAGGTCAAGAGATAGAGACCATCCTGGCCAACATGGTGAAACCCCATCTCTACTAAAAATACAAAAATTAGCTGGGCGTGGTGGGGCGTGCCTGTAGTCCCAGCTACTCAGGAGGCGGAGGCAGGAGAATTGCTTGAACCTGGGAGGCCGCGATTGCAGTGAGCTGAGATTGCACCACTGCACTCCAGCCCAGTGACAGAGCAAGACTCCGTCTCCAAGAAGTGGAAAAAAAAAAAAAATTGAAGTGCCTGGCCAATTGCAGTGGGTCACGGCTGTAATCCCAACACTTTGGGAGGCCGAGATGGGAGAACTGCTAGAAACCAGGAGTTCGAGACCAGCCTGGCCAACATGGCGAAACCCCATCTCTACTAAAAGTACAAAAATGTGCCAGGCGTGTTGGCACACACCTGTAATACCAGTACGTAGGTGGCTGAGGCATAAGAATTGCTTGAGCCTGGGAGGCAGAGGTTGTAGTCAGCCAAGATTGTGCCACTGTACTCCAGCCTGGGCAACAGAGTGAGACTGTCTCAAACAAAAAAAGAAGAAAAAAGGCTGAGTGCATTGGCTCACACCTGTAATCCCAGCACTTTGAGAGGCAGAGGCAGGTGTATTACTTTAGGTCAGGAGTTCCAGATTAGCCTGGCCAACATGGTGAAACCCTGTCTCTACTAAAAGTACAAAAATTAGCCGGGCATGGTGGTAGGTGCCTGTAATCCCAGCTACTCAGGAGGCCGAGGCCAGAGAATTGCTTGAACCCAGGAGGTGGAGGTTGCAGTGAGCCGAGATTGCGCCACTGCACTCCAGCCTGCGCAGCGGAGCAAGGCTCTGTCTCCAAAAAACAAAGAAAAAGAAAAAAGAAAAAATATGATTGGGAAATCAAGACTGTGGCAGACTAGAAAAAGAATGTGGCAGGTTTAGTTTATTTTAAACTAAAAATAGTTTAAAAACTATTTTTAAAGTAGTTACAATAAGAAATGCATTGCTATTTTCATTATAAGCCTAAAAGATTTACCTGGTCACTGGGGATGTTTTCAAATTTTAAGTTACTCTGTTTTTAACGACCCTGTTTCGTTATCCTGTTACATAACTATCTATAAACTATACATAACAAAGTTTACCATTCTAGCCATTTGGAAGTATATGGTTCAGTAGCATTCAATACACTCACATTGTTGTACAGCCATCACCACCGTCCATCCCCAGAACCCTCTATCATCCCTAACTCAAACTGTACCCACTTAACAACTCCCCATTCTTCCTTCCCCAGCCCTTGACAACCACCATTCTGCTTTCTGTCTCTATGACTTTGCCTCCTCTAAGTTCCTTATATAAGTGGAATCCTACACTATTTTTTGTCTTTTTGTAATACTAACTACTCGGGTGGCTGAGGCATAATAATTGCTTATTTCCCAGAGCTTAATGATCTCAGGGCTCACCTGCCTTGTAGCATGTATCAGAATCTCCTTCCTTTTTAAGGTGGTATAATATTCTATCCTACACATTTTATTTATCCATTCATTTGTTGATGGACATTTCGGTTTTTTCACCTTTTGGCTCTAGCGTATACACTGCTAGCAGCATGGGTGTACAGTTCACCCAGGATACTTTGGAAGGTTAAAAGCATTTAATTTCTCCAAAAGGCCGGATGCGGTGGCTCACACCTGTAATCCAAACACTTTGGGAATCTGAGACGGATGGAAATTCTGAGGTCAGGAGTTCAAGACCAGCCTGTCCAACATGGCCATCTCTACTAAAAATACAAAATTTAGCTGGGAGTGATAGCGTGCCTGTAATCCCAGCTACCTGGGAGGCTAGGGCAGGAGAATCACTTGAACCCAGGAGGCGGAGGTTGCAGTAAGCTGAGATCGTGACATTGCACTCCAGCCTGGGCAACAAGAGCAGAACTCCATCTCAAAAAAACAAAGTGCCAAGCACGGTGGCTCACGCCTGTAATCCCAGCACTTTGGGAGGCCAAGGCAGGTGAATTACAAGGTCAGGAGTTCAAGACCAGCCTGGCCAACATAGTGAAACCCCAACTCTACTAAAAATACAAAAAATTAGGCGTGGCAGTGAGCACCTGTAATCTCAGCTACTCAGGAAGCTGAGGCAGGAGAATCGCTTCAACCCAGGAGACAGAAGTTTCAGTGAGCCAAGATCACACTATTGCACTCCAGCCCCAGCAACAGTGCAAGACTCTGTCTAAAAAAAAAAAATCCCTGCAAAACATTATATTTATTTAGATGACCTTGATTATGGACACTATATCCAGTTGAAAAGTGGAGTACAGACATAATTTTTTTTTTTTTTTGAGACACGGTGTCACTCTGTCATCCCGGCTGGAGTGCAGTGGCATGACCACAGCTCACAGCAGCCTCAACCTCCTGGGCTCCACTGATCTTGCCACCTCAGCCTCGGAGTAGTTGGGACTAGAGATACACGCACCAGTAATGGTCCATCCTACTAATTAGTGCATGCCTAATTTTTGTATTTTTTGTAGAGATGGGGTTTTGCCATGTTGCCCCGGCTGATGTCAAACTCCTAACCTTGAGTGGTCTGCCCATCTCAGCCTCCCAAAGTCATGGGATTACAGGCATGAGTCATTGTGCCCAGCCCATACACAACTTCTAAAAAATTTTTCTTAACACGAAATTGGTAAACGTGTTCTAAAGATTTAATGTACAGAATCACTATATATGGTGAGTTTATGGTTTATTGTAAGGTTTGTTTTAATCATCTTAAGAGTTTTTGTTTTGTTTTTTTGAGACAGTCTCACTGCAACCTCTACCCTCCAGGTTCAAGCAATTCTCCTCCCTCAGCCTCGCCTTCCGAGCAGCTGGGATTACAGGCACCTACCACTGCGCCCAGCTAATTTTTGTATTTTTAATAGAGACAAGGTTTCACCATCTTGGCCAGGCTGGTCTTGAACTCCTGACCTTGTGATCCACCCGCCTCAGCCTCCCAAAGTGCTGGGATTACAGGCATGAGCCACCGTGCCTGGCCATGGAGTTATTTTTCATTCATAATTGCTATGTTTGTAATTTTTTAACATAGCCAACAAGAAAATACACTAAGTAGATCAAATGGTAGATATAGCTCTTTACAGTTGAGAGTGGGAGAAAAAGTTGAGGCACCTAAGGGAGAATAAAAATGCTAGGGTGTCTGTCACTTTCACAGTGAGGAGGGCTGACATGTAGCTGTGTGAGCAGTCTATTGGAGAGAGTGGCTTTTCTAGTAGACCACGACAATTCCCTGGCAATTTAGTTTGAACCACATTCACCTGTTGGATTACCAAGAGTACTATTAATGTCAACTGAACTAAATCATCTTTCCATGACTGCTGCCTAACAAGAATCCGTCTTGCAAAATTGACCACCTCAAAAAGAAATTATTTTCATTTCACCTTTAATGATTATCCAAGACCCCAGTATAACAATTAACCCAGCAGATTTTGTTCACATGAATGGCCAGAGTACAACCCTTTAAATCTTTGAATTGAGAAAAAGGCTTCAGATTTTAAGTTTTGAGAGTTTTTTTTCTGCTTCATCTAGTCTACCATTGAAGCTTTTGAGTGTACTTTGTATTTCATCCAGTGATTTCTTCAGTTCCACATTTGCCACGTGCTCTGGTAAACTCTGTAACTGGTTGGTAAATACCTCAAGCATATCCAGAATTGCTACTGACGTTTCCCTACTTTCTTTTTCAGAAGTCTCTTGAATCCCCCTAATCTTGGCTAAAATCAGTTTCCACAATTCTCTATATGACATTTCTTGAATTTCTTTTGTATGGGGATCTGTTGCTGGAGAATTACTGGGTTCCTCTGGAGGCATCCCACTTCCTTGCTTTTTCACGTTTCCCGTGTCCTTCTGTTGAAATCTGCGCATCCTGTGTAAATTGCTTCTTCCAAGTTTGTGAACTCACTTTGTAGGGGAGGACTTCTTCCTGAAAATGTAGATATGGTGTTGGTTAGGTGGGGCATTTTGGCTTTGATTTGGGGTAGTATTGTAGGCGCTGCATGATTTCTTGGGTGGTTATTAGTGGAGGGTGTGGTTGCTGGGGACTAGGAGGCTAAGGTGGGCCAGTCTTTAAGCCCCAGTGGTGGGCTGAGCTTG